GGTGTTTCCGTGCACTGCTCTGGTTTGCCAGAAGTGGCTTAGTCATGCTGGCCACATGACCCGGAAGCTTTAACCGGCTCCCTTGGCCAGTAAAGTGAGATGAGTGCCACAACCCCAGAGTCGTCCACGACTGGACCTAACGGTCAGGGGTCCCTTTACCTTTACTTCCTCTATAATCAGGAAACTTAGATGATTTCTAGGACTCCATTTTAATGGCAGGAGGAGGAGGAGGAGGAGTTTGGATTTGATATCCAGCTTTATCACTACCCTAAGGAGTCTCAAAGCGGCTGTTGCAATTGAACAACATCTAGATGGGCCAAGGTTACTGACCCTTGCATTAAAATATAAATACAGTCGTATCTTGGTTTTCGAACAGCTTAGTTCTCAAACGTTTTGGCTCCCGAACGATCGAAACTTGGAAGTGAGTGTTCTACTTTGCGAACTATTTTTGGAAGCCGAATGTCCAACGGGGCTTCCACAGCTTCCGCTTGGCTGCAGGAGCTTGCTGCAGCCAATCAGAAGCCATGCTTTTGTTTTCAAAATTTTTGGAAGTCGAACGAACTTCCGGAATGGATTCTGTTCAACTTCCAAGGTACGACTGTACTAAATTCATTGACAACTGCAGCTCACACACTTCTGCTGGGTGGAATTGCATGACTTGTCTCTCCATAAGGATTAGCTGGCTTTTTGTGGTAAACAGAGTCTCTGCAAAAGGTTTGGTACTGATGAAAGCCCAACTGGCTGTCTTAAATTCTATATTCCTGTCCCATCAAGATGTTGTGACATTTCCTCTTAGTTCTCTGAGGTGGCATTCACGTCTTATGAGATAAGGTTGAAACCAGCTTGATGTCGGTCCAGATGTCAACCTGAATATCTCTCGCATGCATTTACTAAGGCCAAGTGTGCCACAAATCCAATGTACTTTGTGGTGATGGACCTATCTGACCCTCTTTCTCCCATCAGAACACTTCATTATTAATCTTCAACGAGTACAAAAATAATGCAAAAAAGTGTGCTAGCTATTTTATTAACATGAGGGATTATGCTTTCAGCAATATATCAGAAAGTATTTTATCTAAGCTGTATTAGCGATTACATTTGCATTTGAATTTCAGCCCCCATCATTTCATATGCAGAAACAACCCCAGAGAAAACAGGACAACATTCATCATGTTAGACGGATCTGTCACAGGAAAAGAAACTGTTGAGGCTATTCTAATTTAATTTTCCCCCTTGATTTTTATACCCCCTTATCTATTAGCTCAAGATGGTGCAAAAAAAAAAAAAGACACCCCCAAACAAATACCTAATACATTAAGATGGAACCATAAAAATCTTATGACATAAACAATATGCATCCTTCCAAAATTTATTGACAAGAAAAGCAAACTTCCCCTCTCCCACAGCACTGAGAACACATCCAAAAGGAATGGTGGTGTCTTAAAATGCTTCTGAAATGCAGCTAGGGAAGAATGTTGCATGGCTTGAGAGCTTCAACTGAGAAAGTTGATCCATAGACCTTCGAGATTCTAAGTTTGCACAAAAAAACTGAGTATGGGAGGAAAGAAACCTTAACTGGTTGTAAGGGCTGAATATGCAGGCTTTGTACACCATTCAAAGCACGTCCCCCCAAAAAAAACCCCTCACACTACAAATCCTGTAGTTTGCTAAAGGTGCTGGGAATTGCAGCTCTGTGAATGGTAAACTATAGTTACCATCGTTCTTTGGTGATGCGTGTGCTTTGAGTGTGTGGTAGATACACCGCCAGAATTAGAATTGACACCAAATGTCACCTAAAGCAATTGTCTGAGGCAAAATTACCTGAAGGAAGTGAAAAGAGTTTGGCTAAGGAAAAGCTACATTTCTTACAATAGGGGGAGTGTCCCAACCATTAGGCAGTGAGAGGCAGTTACCTCAGGCAGCAAAAAGTTAATAACTGAATTTTGTATTATTGTATTTTCAATTCTTGGGAGAGGTGCTTGTTGGACTTTCTGCCTTAGATGCCCCAGTAATGGATACTTCACAGCTTTACTAAAGGGCAGGAAGAACAGCTTCCTGCTCCATCTTGGGCAGAAAAATGTCTTGGTTCAGTCCTGATTCAACACAGGTTTCCCCGAACAGCACTGAATGTGAAATTTGGATGTGAATTCAGTGGTTTCATGACCTTTCTTGGATGAAATACAAAGAATCCTGAGGAAAAGTTCAAGGGAGCTTTATGTATTTGTAAAGTGGAATTCTGAGGCACACTTCAAAGGAGAAACTTCTTAGGGATGTTAAGAGAACTAAAAAACATTTTAAAGTGATGGTGTGTGATGGAGGGGGCAGTATTCACTCATATCTGTAAGGATGTCTCTCAGATATGTGTATAATTTCAAGGTACTGTATATAATTATATCTTCATTGCATCACTCTCTATTTGAATCATAGAATTGTAAGGTTGGAAGGGACCCTGAGGGTCATCTTGGCAGAGACTGCTTTAAATTATTTACCATACATTTCCCCCAGGATTTTGTCCTTAAAATACCTCTTTCACAACAAACAGCCTAATTCAGAGTGGCAAATTTTAGGACCCTCAGTGTCGACGCTTCACTTTCCCCAACCTCTGTGTCCTTTGGAATGCACTGGGGCAGGAACTGTCTCACCCTATGGATGTATGCACCCATAGCTAACTGAAACGAGAGGCGATGTCAGCTGAGGCCTCTAGGCTTTAATGCCATACAGATATTTACTACATAGCTGCATAATGTACCCTGAACAGAAAGGTGTTGGGGTAACCGAAGATACACTTTCTTAGCATTGGCAACAGATTCCCAAGTGGAACATAACTGCAATAAACAAATACTGCATTATACTTGCTAGTTTAGTATTCTCCAATCACTCCTACTTTCTGGTACCCAGACTGAGCCCAACATTCCCAATGAAATCCATTTCCTGGATCGAATTGTACAGACCTATAACTGGGTTTTTCCTTGGCCCGGTTCACACATAATGCTAAGCAGATATGAGGAACATTTTGGCTCTCCAGTTGTTGCTTGCAGAATCAGCCCCAGCAAGTGTGGCCAATGGCCTTTCAGCAACACTTGGAGGGCCAAAGGTTCTCCAGAAGTTCTTCCTTCTCACCCCCTTCTGTGAAAAGCACACATGGAAATAATGAAAACTCAAAAGAGTATTGGGATGGTAAACAGTGGGAGACCGACACGCATTTCCCCAACACCTGCTTTTACAAGGTCCAAAGAGTCAGACTGAACAGAATGAGAAATCACACACTGGGAAATATTGAGACAGACTGCAGCCTTTAGGCCTCTATAATGGCTGAAATTCTCTCGTGCCTATTCAGGGAGAGACAACGGCAAGTGCCCACAGTGGAACAGCCTCGAGGTGCTGCGTTGCTCCTTTCAGGCTTCAAATGCCTTTCAAAGCTTGCAGAAAGAGCTAACAATAAAGAGGATTGTAATTCAAATGTTAATATCTCATTAAGTTTTATGAGCAGAGAGGGAAGAGGGGAAAATAGAAAAGAAAGCAGCAGCAATGGAGCCTTTTCATGTGGAGTCAACAATAATACTATATAAAAAACCCCATACAGTACACTTGCCAATAGACTTGGAGGTATTTTCTGCATCATTCTGCTGTCACTGGGTCATAGCATCAGTGGGAGAAAGCTGAAGGAAGGAGCTTTGGGAATTTTCCTTTAAAAAATCAGCACAGACTTGAGATGGAATGGACTTGCTGATCTACTCATGTACAAGGGACACAAACTGGATCAAGACTTTCATCCTAGCCTGCAAGACGGCCTGGTTCACATATTACGCTAAACCACAGTGTATTAAACTACAGCTTAGTGTAATGTGTGAACCTTGGTCCTTGCCCAGAGGCTTAACTATGGAATGTAAAAAGAGCCTGCAAGATCAGGCCAATGGCTCCTCTAATCAAGCATCCTCTTTTCACAGTGGCCAACCAGATACCTCTGGGAAGCACACAAGCAAGGCATGAGATCAACAGCACTTTGCCCACCTGAAAGTCACAACAACTGGTATTTAGAGGCATAGTGCCTCTGGCAGTGGAGACAGAACATAGCCATCATGAATTTGACTGGTCCTCTTTTAAAGTAATTCAAGTTGGTTTGTTGGTTTAAAATAATTCAAGTTGCGGCCTAGGACCCATGTACCTATGGGACCGCCTCTCCTGGTATGCCCCATGGAGGACCTTAAGGTCCACAAATGACAACACCAGGTCACAAGGTGGTTAGATTGGTCTCAACTAGGGCCAGGGCCTTTTCAGTACTGGCCCCATCTTGGTGGAACGCTCTGTCACAAGAGACTAGGGCCCTGCAGGACTTGACATCTTTCCGCAGGGCCTGCAAGACAGAGCTGTTCCGCCTGGCCTTTGGTTTGGACTCAGTCTGACCCTTATATTTCCCTCCCCTTATGGTTTTGATCTATGGGCTACTATTAAAATGAGGCTGCATTTTAAATTATATTTTAAGCTGTATTTTAAATTGGTTTAGTTTTTTATTTTATTTTTTAATTGTAATTTTACTGGTGTTAGCCACCCTGAGCCCAGCTCTGGCCAGGGAGGGTGGGGTATAAATAAAATTTTATTATTATTATTATCACTGCCTTCTATGGGAGGGAGTTCCATAGTTTAACAATGTGCTGCATAAAGAAGTATTTTCTTTTATCTGCACTGAATCTTCCAACATTCAGCTTCATTGAAAGTCCTCAAGTTCTACTGTTATGGGGGGGGGGCCTTTCCTCTATCTGCATTCCCCAAGCCAGGCATAAATGTGTATACTTCTGTCTTAACACATCTTGTTCACCTTTTCTCTAAACTCAAAAATCCTAAAAGCTGTAACCTTTCCTTGTAGGAAAGTCGCTCCATCCTCTTTATCATTTCCATTGCCTTTTTCTGAATCTATTCCAACACCTCCAGACCAGAACCATACAAAGAATTCCAGATTCAGTCGCATCACAGATTTGTACAATGGCTTTATGACATCAGCAGTTTTATTTTCAATTCGTTTCCCAATTATTCCTAGCATGGAATCTGCCTTTTCCGCAGCCGCTGCACCGTGGGACGACATCGCCATCAAGCATCCCACTACGACCCCAAGCTCCCATTCCTGGTCAGTCATTCCCAGTTCAGAAAATGTGGCTTGGCTGTAGTCACTACCAAACAGTGGCTTTAATGTAAAATGGTAAACGGGAGAGCTTGGAGGGGTAAGGGCTGGTCATGATAGCTATATTGTACCTCCATTGTTGGAAACAGCATCCTTTGATTACCTGTTTCTGGAACTGCAGGTGAAGAAAAGGACCTTTGCACTCAGGTTCTGCTAATGGGGTTCCTATGGGCATCTAGCTAGCCCTTGTGAAAACAGGATGCTCAACTAGATGAGCCTTTGGCCTGATCCAGGAAGGCTCCTATAATCTGTCAATTAATGCTAAATCTCTTACAGAGGAGAAACATTGAAGCAGCACAGCACAAGGCCAGCTACTACAGATAGATGAGATATATTTATAAAATCTAGTGATTTTACTTGCTATTGTCAAAACTAGTGGGCGTCAGAAAAAGAGAAAGAAACACATTATCTATCAGCCAGGTGTTTGACAGCCTACTGTGACTGTCCTGCAGAGCTGCCAACTTTTCAGCCATTTATTGTCATTCAGCTTTTAACTGCTGCTTGATGAACAGATATCTGTAGATGAGAAAGTTTAGCCCTGTGTTTTGAAAAGCTTGGCTTGCTGATTTCTGCACAGCAAACTCCTGTTTCAGGCAAAAGAGCTGGATAAGACGATTCCTTTTCCTGATCAGTTGGCAATCTTACCAGTCAGGATTAAAATGGGAGGTTTATCAAACACCCGTTGCACTAATTTCACCTTGGCGGATCACAAACACTGCAGTTAGCCAAAGCTGCAAATGTGAGGATTCCACCAAAAAGTTGCTTCATAGGTATGGCCCTCATTCTGCAATTACTTGCACATCTGCTAGAAATCAGCATTGAGGTTAGGGCAGGAGGAGGGACCAACTGTGGCTTTGTATGTGGAAGGCTCCAGCTCCAATGAACCTGGCATCTCCAGTTAGAAAGGAGCAGGGAGCAGATATGGGGAATGTGTCATGCAGTGGTAAATCAATCAAAGCAGAGTCTTCATAAACAGAATGAAACTGAAAAAAATAAAGTTGTTCATAAACAGCATAGTTAAAGAGCATACACAGAGTGCTCCTAGCAGCTATCTGACTCTTCACAGAGGCACAGTCTTAGTTACTGATTTACTAGAGTCCTGGAGCCACTCTTGTCTGCAACAACACAACACACACACTGGCTGAGACACACAGAGAGACATTGGCTACTTTTATAGGGAGAATGAGTCATCGCTCAAGATGAGTCGCGAGTCACTTAGCAGTTAGCAGGCTTGAATGATTGTGTAGTCCTTGTAGTCCTTACTGCTTCTGCTCTCAAGAACCTTTGTCTCATGACAGAAAGAGCCTCCTTGCCAGAAGAACCCAGAGAACCACTGTCAGTCAGAGTAGACAATACAGGGCTACAAAACCAAATAGCCTAACCTGGTAGAAGGTAGCTGTGGGAATGTTCAGGGTGGCAGAAGTGGATATATTGTTTATTAATATTCTTCCTAACTTGCGCTATCAAGTTCCTTTACTTAGCAGGGTGCATTCCTCTTTACACAGCAGAAAACTAGTTGCAAACTCATGTGAGTTTCTTAAGACAATACGCAATTCAATCTGGCTTGTCCAGATTGAAATGTGTTCTGATATTTTCCTGGTAAGACCCCTTGAATCCCTCCTAAAAGAATAAAGACACCACAGTCTTATTCATAAGCAATAAAAAAAAAGTTTACTTGTGATCAGGCAGAGCACAGTGTGATCCCTGAAGGCAGGCTTAAGGCTTAAAGCTACAAGCATATACAAACAGGTTTACCCCATATGTGGGTTGACCTAGTGACTGCAGTTAGCAGTCCGGGATGCAGTTAGCAGGATGAAAGGAAGATGGAAAAGAGAGAGAGTGGTAGCATGCCTTGTCCTTTTACCAGGTCTGGAAAGGTCACACCTACCCACTAGTCATATGCAAGGAAGGATGCTCCAGGCCAGGAGGAACAGAAAGTTTTTGACTGGCTGGACCAAACATTCCCTTGCATGTCCACTCTAGGAAAACAAGGAATGTTGTACTTGACTGTTCTCAGTGGATTCCATCCCACAGTAGCCACTTCCAACCCTCTGCCCACCAAGAGCACAATCCTACATGCATCTATTTGAAAGGAGGTCTCATTGAATTCAAGAACGCTTGCTTCCAGGTAAGTGGGTTTAGGAACACAGTCACAGTAGGGTGGGGAATGGAGAGCAAAGATTAAGGTTATCCCTTAAAATTGGCAGGCGCCGGATTTTAAGACCAAGAAAAGGAAACAAAAGAAGAGGCAAAGCCTCAAAATAGCATTGGAAAAATGTTCTTTTTAAAAAATCAAATCAAATAACAGTCCTTGTAAAACAATAGCACACCCAGCATGTTTCAGCTGACAACAATAGCTTCTTCGTGGTACAAGATGAAAGGTTCTCCTGTCAAGGCAACAGCTTGTTGAGACAAATAAAAAGGATTTGTTCACACAACACACAATCAACCTCCAAAAGCACACTTCCAGATGACCTGTTTATTATGCATTTTATCCTGCTTTGATTGCAGGGAGATTACTTAGTGTTGGCTATTTAAGGAGCATTCATTCTGATTTATCTGCAGGGAGGTGAGATGACCCTGGTTCCTGCAACACCCAAATAATCTGACCTGACATAAGAAAACTCCTGATACCTATTTAAATTGGCACTGGACCATATATTTTTCCAGAATGAGGGCCACACAGAGCTATCAGCCCTAGGGCTTGCTGCTTGCTAATTAACCAGGGGTTTGGGATAGGCCCTCCATATCACCTGCCCAGAAATATGGAGAGACCTCCACAGAATGTGAGACTGAGATTTTGAGCGGCTATAGAGAAGATTGCTTCCAAAAATGAAGCGGGTACAGCTCAATCCCAGCTTTAACCCTTCCTTAATGTGCATAACAGAGTCCTGGAGCAGAGCCTTAGCTAAAGTTGTTTTGACTCTCCTTGGCTTCCTTCTCTGGGGAGCTGCTGTGGCTTTAGTCCTTGGTGGTGCGTTTGTAATCCTCACCTACAGAAGCTACGGAGTCTTCTTTCAGAACAGATTCTTCCTTGTGCCAGGCTGGCTGGCCATCATGGCTGCTCTTCTGCTGGTCCCCACCGGTGCTTTGGCTATATGTGCCCCAGTAAAGAACTCTCGCCATCACCAGGGGACTTTGATGTACTTTCTGTTGGTCCTTCTCTGCCTAGAGGCATCCTCAACCATCATGACCCATGTCTACTGTGTCAAAGCGGGCCATCAACTGAAAAACAGCATGGACCACTTCTTTCGCCAATACAACAGAACTGCTCCACATTACCGTAGCAACAGGGCTGTTGATGTAATCCATAAGCAGCTGAAGTGCTGCGGAATCAACAACTACACTGACTGGATGGCAGCGCTGCCAACTCATCTCCAAGCTGGGCATGTCTTTGCCCCCGAAAGCTGTTGCAAAGAGGCTTATTTGGACTGCAGGGGTGACGTAAGCCAGCCGGAGAAGCTGTTTAAGGAAGGCTGTCTTCAGAAACTGGAAGGGAGGCTGCATTTTGTTATGGGATATATGGCTTGGTGTTGTATGGTGGTGGTTTGGTTGGAGATGCTGGCTGCTCTTAGCAATGGAATACTTATGAAGGAACAGCCATTCCAAGACTTCCAAATTCTTGATTCTGCTGCTTTCTCATAAGCAACAAAACTAGTCCCTTTCCATCTTACCTGAAGTTATTGTGTACTGCTCTCAAATCTTGAGATGGCCTTTGTAAAACTATGGGAAATAGGAGACTAAAAACTCCTCTTGGTATATAAATGCCAGATTCTTCTCTCTCTCTCTCTCTCTCTCTCTCTCTCTCTCTCTGACTAATACTAAATAAATGAATGCATCTGAAAACTTTGGACTGTGGGCAATTTTTCTAGCATTGCATGTGTGACAGTGAATACTTTGATACTGATTGCCTTTGATACTGATTGTACAGTTGCAAACTCTTCCACTGCTCTGGAAGTAGAGCTGTCTGAATGTTGGCAGTCCAGCTTTAGCGAGGGAAAGAAAAAATTTCTGTCGGTCATTAAACCTCACACAGACCAAGGTCTGGAAAGAGGTCCCATCAGGTAGAGAAACTTAAGAGAAGAAGGTCTGCAGTGGAGAGTAGGTACATAAAAGAAAGATTAAGTGAAAGAAAGGGAATTATGCTAGAAAGGGCACTGTAGAAAGGAAGGATGAGAAAAGAATGAAAGGGGGTCTGACAAGGGTGGTTTGGAGGGCTCAAGGCTGCAGGCCTGGGAGCTTAGTATTCCGAGATATATGACTGCTGTGCCTTTAAGAGTTGTCAGGCTTCAGAGAAATGGCTTCTGCCCCCACTTTGGCTGTGCATTGGCAGAAGAAAGCAATTAGAGTCCCTTACCATTTTAAGAGTGTTTAATGATAACAGCAAAAGAACACAGCAGCCCTTCTTGGAGCGAAGGTGCTTCCAATTAAGTTTTCCACCTCCTTCCCAGAGTCATCGTCACTTCCCCTTCTTGCAACCTGATCTCTCAACCACTGAGCCTTCTGCATAGCAACCTCCTTGCCTTGGGAGAGAGAGGCTGGGCACTCTCAAGCGAAGGGGAGTCAGTTATCTCTCTCTCTTCCTGTTCTGCTTCTTCTAGCTGTTTCCCACTCAGCTCTGCCCAGCTGTTGTTTTCAGAACTATGTCCCTCTGCAAACCTGTTCTCTAAATCTATGCTGCTCCACTGTTCCCGAGTAGCTTCAGCATCCTGGTCAGGACCAGGAAGAAGGGGAGGTTTCCACCATTCCTCTTCAGAGCTGTAATCCTCAATCTGGTCTCTGACAGTTGTACTGAAAGATGTAGAATGCAGTCAGTGCAGTCAAACCAAGTATTCATGTTTGCTAGATAGGCACATGATGGGACTTGAAGCTCACAGAAATTACCTGTAGGTTTGCTAGAGAGAAACCTGTGAGAGACACTCCCACTGGGCCCTGACAGCAGGAGGGCATAGCCATATATATTGTCCTACCTGCTGGGCACATCCTCTCTCTCTTCCCTACCTCTTCGTCTATTCACCAAGTGAACAATGTGAGGACATCTGAGTCTGATCTACATGCTCAGACTCCATCTTAAGCGAGACTAAAGTATGTCTTTGTAACTGAATTACTATTTTAAGTCTGCCTGAATAAAGCTGCTTCTGTTAGTCTTCAACAAGTATTCGGGGTGAGTAAATGTTATTTTTACCTTTCGCAAGGCTGGTTGTGTGGTGGTTGTTTCAAGGGGGAGAGGAGGAGAAACAGCAGGAGAATCCCTTCTGTATCAAAACATCCTGGATTCCTTAAATTCAGAGGCTAAAACTAGCCTATCTAAGCTAGGTTACTATCTAATAAATATATCCCAATGAAAGGTCATTCTTTTCAGTAGTGCTTCTGTTGTTTCCTGGCAATCCTGAGGGCGAAGAAGCAGCTAGGAGTGGGATGGAGACTGGATTTTATAAATTGATTGGAACTAACTGGGCAGTGCTTGGGCTGCAAGCCTCTGGTTAATGTTTATTCCAACATTTGCAAAACTAAAGCTACTGAGTATGAAGAAGATGGAAGAAAGGGGTGCGTTTCTTGTGTGTTTATAACTGCCCAATTTCCCCAATTTTCGCATCCAGGATGGCAAGCCTTCTATAAACATTATTTCACTAATGCATCACCTTGTTCCTGAAGGTCTCAGGGTGCAAACCTAATCCCTTACCAGCAGCAATAGGACTTGGTGGTGTGGCACTGTCCCAGTGCCAAGGAGATAAGTAACTATACAACTTTTAGAAGACATCTGAAGGCAGCTTCCCTGTATAGGGAAGCTTTTAAATGTGTAATGTTTTATTATGTTTTTATATATGTTGGAAGCTGCCCAGGGTGGCTGGGTTAACCAAGTCAGACAGGTAGGGTATATATAATAAGGTGGTTGTTGTTGAATAGGACGTTCCTATTTTCATCAGAGAAATGTTGGAGGGTAGGAATTAGGCCAAGGCCTGCATAAAATTAGGCCTGCTTACTTGTGCTGCCCACCTGTGTGGACAGCAGGGATGGGGAAGCCATGATCTTCCAGATGTTGATGGACAACAATTCCCATCATTCTTAGTCATTAGTCTTCTGCCTGGGGATGATGGAAGTTGGAGTCCAGCAAAATCTGGAGAGAGCCACAGGGTCTCCACCCTTGTCCTAGACACTAATCTGAAATGGAAACCAAGGAAGAGAAGCAGGTACCATTCAACTTTCCTGTCCCTGGTAAATAGGGAGAGTTTGAGTGTATGCATGTAGCTCATTTAATGTATTTCTAAAATACTGGGTTTTGGTGTGTTTTTTTAATTAAAAAGACTTTGTGTGGGTGGCAACCAATCACATGAGTGACTGGGGAGAATTGTTCACTTCTATGAGATTTTTCATCTACTGCTTGATCTTTTAAAGCATGCCAAACAGTGTCTCCCCCAATGACAGCAAGCAACAGCTGTAGCACTGCAGCCAGTCTGCCTTATTCTCTTATTACACTTGAAAGTCTGTTAATTTCTTATCAAGGCTTATGTGCCACCTTCCAGGAAGATTAGCCAGAATTCTGCTTTCTGTGCTGCTAAATTTATGAAGTGTGTGTATCTACGTTAATTAAAGGGACTTTGATGCTTTCGTTGCCTGATGGGGGAAAATGTACTCTAATCATTTCTTGCTCAAAACCACACGCACACACACAAATCTTTTGAAAACTGAGAAGAAGCCAGGCAGCTAGCAGAACAATGCTCTAATCTGGCCCTCCAGGGTTACAATTGAACTCTTATTGTTTCCCCTCCTCCTAAAAACCGCTAAGTAGATGTAAACATGCAACCCAAACCACAGTTTTTCATTAAAATGTTTTTCTTCACTTGTGCTCTTGCTAGAATGAAAGTGAGTGGCAATGCTTCCTGCTCTTAGGCAGCTCATTTACAGAAGCAAGAAACTGAATGAGAACAGAAGTATTGCCCCATCTTTTCCAGAATCAAGCTGAAGAAGGACCATGGCTCAGTAGTAGAACATCTATTTTGCATGTAAAAGGTTCCAGGTCCAATCCCTGGCATCTTTGGGGTAGGGCAAGGCTGGAAAACTCCTGCGTGAAAACCTTTTAGAGTCCCTCTCAGCAGTGGCGTAGCATGGGTTGCCAGGGCCTGGGGCAAGACATGTATTCTCAGCATAGCCTGCTAGTAGGTTGACCTATTAACCTCACAGATTTACAGTTCCCAGAATTTCCTGGGAAGAGGAAATGACTCTTCCACTCAGGGAATTTTAGCTTCGGGGGGGGGGGGTCTCCTAACACCTTTCAGCACCTTTAAGAAACTGCAGCTCCCATAATTTTTTGTGGGAAGCCATGATGGCTTAAAGTGGTATTGTGAGGCTTTAAATGTACATAGACCAAAGCAAATTTTATATCATTTTCCATTACAGGTTGTTCATGCGCCTAATATTTTACTGGATTGGATAGACTAAGGGCCTCAACTTGACCCGTTTTAAGATTATTCATCTGAAAGACTGAGGACTGCAGAACATTCAAAACCAGAATACCTATTTTGCATTCTCCCTCACCTAAGCTGACAGCTCATTGGCAGCTAAACAAGAAAGTCAGTTGCCAGGAATCAGTAGTCTTCCAGCCACCATTAATTGTCTTTGGCCGACAAGAAGGAGTGTGTTCATTAATACTCAATTTGGGGAAATAATAAAACGAAAACGAAAGATGAAGCTCTGTCTATGAAGAGTGACGGTGAAAAATGACTGCTATTCTGGAACTATATCTTAATGGCTTCAGCAGCCACTGTCCTCCCTTTGTGCAAATTTTAAAGCCATTATTATCCTCCGCCCTAATCAGGGAATCAAAATGTTCTCTCAGCAATTGATGGCCCTAAATCAGTACTTATTCCTCTGGAATGAATTTATTCAGCATGATGTATTTCTATTGCTGTGTGTTTCCATTGCGGATGTGCATAATAAAAACAGCAGGCTCTGTCGCTGAGAGGCTGGGCTGCCAGCATCCCAGGGATAGCAGCGAGCAAAGCAGCTCTCTCATAAGGACCTAGCACCATTTCTCCATCCCCTCTGATGCACTGCTGTTGCTCTCCTGGCCATGCTCTGACGGCGCAGGCCGACCCAAAGGAGCATATCCTCCAACATTCCTCAGATGAAAATAGGGACATGCCTCACTCCTTCCCCGAACCTCCTAGACACCACATTTCCACCTCCACCCCAAGCAATTCCTATCAGTGAGTGTCGCCACCACTACAGCAACTGGACACAACACACATGCCCTCCACCGTCCTGAGAAAACCCATTGATTTTCATTTCGAGTTACAAAAAGAAAAACACACACCAATAAATAAATTTTAGAAAGAGGCAAGATTCGATGTGAATGCATAAGAGGTCCAGCTCCGAGGACCTTCTGGCAGTTCCCTCACTGCCAGAAGTGAGGTTACAAGGAACCAGGCAGAGGGCCTTCTTGGCAGTGGCGCTCGCCCTCCCATCAGATGTCAAGGAAATAAACAACTATCTGACTTTTGGAAGACATCTGAAGGCAGCCCTGTTTAGGGAAGTTTTTAATGTTTGATATTTTATTGTGTTTTTAATATTCTGTTGGGAGCCACCCGGAGTGGCTGGGGAAACCCAGACAGAGGGGCGGGGTATAAATTATCATCATCATCATTGTATTTTTCCATCTATAAGGCGCCCCACCCCCTATTTGGGGGGACTCCAGTTTTAGAAAATGGTGTGAGATGGCCCCCATGTATAAGAAGCTCCCAAATTTTAGATATTTCATTTTTTAGGAGAAAACCCTAGTCTTATACACAGGAAAATACAGTAAATATTGTGGGGGGCTTTAAATCAAGACTCCTTGCACTCCACTC